CCTAGTTTGAACTAGGGTGGCTAATGTAGTCATTCGAACTTGCAAATGAAGCCCGGGATTTAAATATCCTGGGTTTCATTTGCAAGTTCCCAGGCGCCGCCATTTTAAAATGCCCGGTAGCTCGAACTACCTGCCCGCGGTTACACGCGGCACAGATGGCTCACTTGACTGATTAATAGGTGTCTTTCAAAAGGAAATTAATAACAAACTCTCTCTCATATACACACACACACACACATACACACACACACACACGGTCGAACATAAACTTATTTCCCTCTCAAGGAACCTTAGAATTAGGGTCTGTCTACAAAGTGAGGTAGTGCACACTCCAAGGGTATGATTTCCACAGTGTACTGATATGTTACACATTAATTGGTCTGTGTAGACCTTGCTGCTGCATGTCACAGGTTACCTAGTATGCTTTAACATCATAGTGTTTCACGCACCGTTATATTAATGCACAGTCAGGATGATTTAGTGTGCATAAGTGGGAACTACATGAACCAATTAATGTGTAACACATTAGTGTGCTTTAGAAATCACATCTCTGGGGTATGCATTATCCTGGGCTGTGTCTACACTGGCCTCCCTTTTGGAAAAGGGATGCTAATGTAGCACTTTGGAATAAGCAAATCCACGGGGGATTTAAATATCCCCCGCAGTATTTGCATTAACATGGCTGCCGCTTTTTTCCGGCTTGGAGATAAGCCGGAGAAAAGTGCCAGTCTAGACGTGATTCTCCAGAAAATAAAGCCTTTTCTGGAGGATCTCTTATTCGAAACTTTCAAGTAGGAATAAGAGATCCTTCGGAAAAGGCTTTATTTTCCGGAGAATCACGTCTAGACTGGCGCTTTTCTCCGGCTTATCTCCAAGCCGGAACTCCAAGCCAGAAAAAAGCGGCAGCCATGTTAATGCAAATACCACGGGGGATATTTAAATCCCCCGCGGATTTGCCTATTCCAAAGTGCTACATTAGCATCCCTTTTCCGAAAGGGAGGCCAGTGTAGACACAGCGCTGTTGTGTAGACAAGCCTCACAGTCTTCATGATGGCAAAACCAGACAGCATTTGCAATTCATATATTTAAGCGGTGCATATGCCAGCAGGCTACTGGGATTTTGTTTTCAGTCTCATGAGCTTGGGAAAGATTCGTAGCGCTCCAAGGATGACCATTGATTCTCTAATAAGACCTGTTGGTTCAAAGGAGCAGCTGGTTTTAGGCAGGAGGAAGCCCTAGTTTACATCCAGTGATCTTGAGACAGAGGGAAGAAAATCCCCTTGTTTGTGACTTTCATTGGTGGGGCTGTGGAAAGGGAAATGTAATTGCTTTCTTTACTCGTGGAAAAAGCATAACTCAAAGATGGACCCACACAGAGGAAGTAAAAACAAAGCAGGACAAATTAGCTTCTTGAATAACTCTTATTAAAGTCTGTGATTGTCTATCATATCCTTGAATAACTCTTATTAAAGTCTGTGATTGTCTACCAGCAATAATTTTTCCTATCATATTCTGTAATAAAAATAAGATGCACTTAAAAACATTTCAAAAATATGAGCAGGTGGGTAAATAGTCTAGATTCACAGTAGTTTGACTAGCTTCTAATTTACTATGCAGTTAACTGTAGCAATAACAGTTACTAAGATTTGTGATAGATGAACATCTTGTAGGTAATTGTTCCTAAAAACTAAATATGTACATAATATTTGTTTCTTAAATTGTTAGGTTTTAGCCAGTCTCTCTAAATAATTCCTTGGAAGTATGTTGTTCACTTGTTGCCTAAATACTAATTATATACATTCTCCCCAGTATCACTTCAACCCTTCCCAGTCAGTCCTTGTCGTAGAAGGAGATGATATTGAGAATATAAATCAAGCTCTCCAAAAGGTCTCGTATATCAACTCTAGACAGTTCCCTACCGCAGGCATACGGCGTCTTAAAGTCTCATCTAAAGTCCAGTAAGTTACATTCAGTTAAACTGATTAGATCAGTTATATTGTCTTAATAAATTATTTTTAAATATTGAAATATAAAAATAGAATTCAAATTAAAATATGTTGATAAACTACATCTTTAAATTACCAAGCAGAAGTCATGAGTTGCATTTGCTTTTATTTGTGGGTTTCTTATGGTTTTTTTTAATAATGTAATTCTTGTAAATGTAATTTAGTTTTGTACCTTTTGGAGCATGAAGCATTCAGTCTATTTTGAAGAGTGTGTGTATGCTGTATGTCAGTGGAATGTCAATAGAGTACTTATTCTCATTTGCCCAATTGATTAAGGTTTCTTCTGACATACTTAGAGCCAAGCCTTCTAAATCAGTCCTGTTGTGATGAATACAGGGTATATCTACAAGGGCCGTGCCTCTCTGCTAGAAATAGCCTTTGTCCACAAGAGGGGTGGGCAATAAGCGGCTCACGGGTAGAATGCTGTTCACCAGGGTTATCCCCAGTGGGTCATCAAACATTTATATACCTGTGTGGCTGTAGGTACAACCTCTTGCAGTTCCTGTTGGCCATGGATTGCTGTTCGCAGCCAATGGGAGCTGTAGGAAGCAGTGTCCTGGTCCATGCCACTTCCTGCAGCTTGCATTGGCCAGGAACACCTCTGGCCTATGCTGTAGCAGGGCCACAATCACTGTAGCATTTGGACATCTTGGGCAAAGTAGAAATTACTAAGTCCTACATCAGTGGTGGGCAAATACCAGCCTGCGAGCCAGATCCAGTCTGCGAGGGTTAGCATCTGCAGGCCCCCACACCACTATATTTACCTGTGCTTGTGGATCTCCATTCAAGGCCAATGGGAGCTGAAATCACCCTTACCTGCAGAGATGTAGGTAAATATACAGTTGCCCACCAGGGGCTACATACAACTGTGTAGTTGTACTAGAAGATTTACCTGGCATTGCTCAGGTCCTTCAGAGTAGGGGGCTGAGAGTGGGCAATGCAGGGCTCAGGGCAGTGGCTTGGGGATATGAGGGATTGAGGCAGGAGGCTTGGAGTGTGGGAGCTCCAGGAGTCAGGATTGGATGGTGAGGAGGGGCTCTGGGCAGGGGTTGGGAGATGTGGAGGCACTCGGGGAGGAAGTAGTGGGTCAGGGCAGGGGATGGTGGTTACCTGCCAACTTCTCCCTGGGGCTGGGAGAGGGGGCACAGTCTCCCGCCAGCCTCTCCCTGGGGCCAGCCCAAGGCAGTGAGGGCCATGAGTCATGGTCACCCAGGGGCAACCTAGGGGCAGCCCAGGGTGGCAGGGCCTGCACAGCGGCTGGCAGCTGCTCCCAGGGCAGTCCAGGGCAGCAGGGGCTGGGGCGCTTGCTACGCTCCTGTGGCTGGTTGTTCTTGCTGTCACACTCACTCCCTTTCCATTTGATGTGAAAAAATCACATTCCAGGCTAGGCATGTAATATTATAGTCGTTTAACCGAATAACTGATAAGCAAAAGCTTATACGTTGATGCTATAGACTACACGCATTGCTCACCCCCCCTTGCCAGTACATTTTTTAGCTGGCTGGCCAGCAGCCCAGCTCAGGGCTGGCTTGTGAGACCTACTCCTTCTGTGGCTCTGCATTTAAAGTGCATTAGGTGCCAAGCAGGCAGGCAGCCCAACTCAGTTCTGGTTCGTGCCAGGTCTGGGAGCACAGACCATCCCTACCCCCCAAGACAGGGTCGGCTGCCACCCTGTGCTTCTTTTTCTGTATCAGAGGCAACCGTGACAATGACAGGCAGCCGGTCTATGAGGGGAGCTGTTTTTTAAACTGGCTCCCCTCGCAGACCAGCTCCCGCCTGGTACCCCACACTGCTGCCTCTGTTACAGAGACAGCAGTGCGGAGTGGCAGGGAGCTCTTCAGGAGTGGGGCCAGAGCACACTGGCTGCCAGCCCCGCCCCCGGGACTATAGAATAGTCGACTAACCGATAAAAATTCATGAGGTTAATTGACTATTCAATTAACCGATATTGAACATCTTTAAAAGCTCCCATTGTCCTGGCAGAACCAAACCCTGAGCTATCTTTAAAAGTTATGATAAGAGGAAGCTCCATTCCAAATTTGGTGGTCCTATTTCTACTGTTTAGGAGGAATTCTTGAACAGGCAGACTCATGAACATACAGATGGACAGATGCACATTTCTAAAATATATAGTAAAAATGATATCATACAACTGTCACAGTAAAGTGTAAGCAACAATGGTAACATTCCTCCATGGTAAAGGACTAGTACACACTGACTGCTGGTAAGTGTATTCGTGTTCAGGATGTGCAACACTGAGTCCACGATGCTTTCAGTTTAACTGGATGGTTAGGTTCTTGATTCATAGTCAACAAGAAAATTGTGTTATATGCATTAGATGATAATGTGGGTGCCTAATGTTGAGCTTACAACACTTAGCTGCTATTTCATTAACTTTAATTTTAACCATTGACTGTTTTGTTAAATGCTAATTATGTATCTAAACGTTCCTTTCATACTGACCTTACTAACGATTGCGCTTACCATTGAAGTGTTAAACTATGTAAAGGTACTTCCAGTAGTTGTGAACATTTGTAAATAGGTGTACATGAACTGTGCAACCCAGAACTGTTAGTACTACTGCTTTTACACATGACAGTAAGAACATAGAAATATGTGCTGCTGGATCATGGAATGAAATGAAGCGATCGGGTGCCAAAGGCAGTTTAAATAACAAGGGCAATAAGCACAAAAATTAGGTGGGCACTGGGCATAAGACAACAAAGACAGACAAATGCACAGAAAGAATGGGTGAGGTAGCTTGCTTTGTACTGTATGCCTCTAGCAAGGGAGGAATTTTTACCTGACAACTACTATTCCATTCAATTAATAATATATTTTTCAGGTGTTTTGGTGAAGATGTCTGCATTAGCATCCCAGATATCGATGCGTATGTGATGGTGTTTCAGGCCAATGAGCCCAAGATCACAATAAGTGGAATGGACCACTTTGCTAGACCGGCGGCACAATTTGAAAGTGAAAGAGGAGTGACTCTCTTACCAGACATCAGAATTGTCAGTACAGTCACCAAAGTGGAACATCAGGAAGAAAACAGTACAGGTTTGTTCTTTTTTTTTCCTTGTTTGTCCCAAGCAGGAGGTAAGGCTTTATGGTATGATATAGAAATATACAGAAATAATGCAGGCAATTTCTGTCCCAGGGAGCTCACAACCAAGAATTTAGTCAATTTTAATATGTATTTCAAATAATTATCGAAACAAATGGACATATCCTCAGGTACAAGTTTGCAGGCCTAGTATGTATATGTTCATTAAGTACATTTTCTCTAATACAGTGGGGAAATTTTTACATTGTGCTTTTGAGCAACCAACTTCTTATTAGAGGTCCTCAACAGGATTAACAAGAAATATTTTGACTTTTTCATTTATTGCCAATTGACTGCTGTTGTGAAGTAATGAAATCCATTAATCAGCTATTTTAGAATCACAGAATCAATCATAGACTCATAGAATCATAGGATTGGAAGAGACCTCAGGAGGTCATCGAGTCCAACTCCCTACCCAAAGTAGGACTAATCTCAACTAAACCATCCCAGTCATGGCTTTGCGAAGCTTGGCATTAAAAACCTCAAAAGACAGAGATTCCATCACCTCTGCATCCTTAGGCAACTCATTCCAGTGCTTCACCCCCCTCCTAGTGAAATAGTTTTTCCTAATATCCAGCCTAGATCTTCTCTCCTCAACCTGAGACCATTGTTTCTTGTTCTGTCATCTGCCACCACTGAGAAGAGCCTGGCTCTGTCCTCTTTGGAATCCTTCTTCAGATAGTTGAAGAAAGACATTACATCCCTCCATATTCTTGTTTTCAGAAGACTAAATAGGTCCAGTTCCCTCAGCCTCTCCTCATAAGTCACGTGCTCCAGCTCCCTGATAATTTTTTTTTTGCCCTCCACTGGATTGTCTCCAAATTGTTCACATCCTTTCTGAAGTCGGGGGGCTCAGATTTGGTCATACCACTGGATTGTCTCCAAATTGTTCACATCCTTTCTGGAGTGGGGGGGCTCAGATTTGGACATCATATTCTAGATGTGGGCTCACCAATGCTGAATAGAGAGGAATAATCACTTCCCTCATTCTGCTGGCAACGCTCCTACTAATGCAGCTCAATATGCCATTAGCCTTCTTGGCAACACTGTTGCCTCATGTTCAGCTTGTCTATTGTAATCCCCAGGTCCTTTTCTGTACAACTGCTGCCTACTCAGTTGGTCCCCAGTCTGTAGCAATGCATGGGACTCAAAACATTTCTTTTAGCCCAGTCCTCCAATTTGTCACACCCTATCACTACCTTCCAGAGTATCTACTGCTCCCACCTTAGTGTCATCCACAAACTTGCTGAGGGTGCAGACTAACCCAATATGCCATTAGCCTTCTTGGCAACACTGTTGCCTCTTGTTCAGCTTGTCTATTGTAATCCCCAGGTCCTTTTCTGTACAACTGCTGCCTACTCAGTTGGTCCCCAGTCTGTAGCAATGCATGGGACTCAAAACATTTCTTTTAGCCCAGTCCTCCAATTTGTCACACCCTATCACTACCTTCCAGAGTATCTACTGCTCCCACCTTAGTGTCATCCACAAACTTGCTGAGGGTGCAGACTAACCCATCATCCAGATCTTTAATGAAGATGTTGAACAAAACCTGCTCCAGGACCAACCCCTGGGATATGCTACTTGTTACTAATTGCCACCTAGACATTGATCACTACTCATTGAGCCCAGTGATGCAGCCAGCTTTCTATCCACCTTATAATCCATTAATCCAGGCCATACTTTAATTTGCCAGCAAGAAAACTATGAGAGACCATATTGAAATCTTTGCTGAGGTCAAGGTATATCAGATCCACTGCTTTACTGATGTCCACAAAGCCAGTTATATCAATACAGAGGCAATTTGGTTGGTCAGGCATGACTAGCCCTTGATGAATCCATGTTGACTGTTCCTAATTACCTTCCTCTCCTCTAAGTGTTTCAAAACTGATTCCTTGAGGACCTGATCCATGATTTTTCCAGGGAGTGAGATGAGACTGACCAGTCTGTAGTTCCTCTAATCCTCCTCCTTCCCCTGTTTGAAGAGGAACACTACATTTGCCTTTTTCGCAATCATCTGGCAACTCCCCTGATTGTCAAGAGTTTTCATAGAGTATATCCAGTGGCACTGTGATCACATCAGCTTGGCTGTATTAGATCTGACCTCTTGCACTTGTGCATATCCAACTTTTCTAAATAGCAGTTTTAGTAATTTTTCTCAACTACATTCCTCAGACCAGAAAAATAGGCAATTCTTTGTACATCTCTCAGAAAAACTGAACTTGCTAATGATATATAAGTTTAAGGGCACTGGCTCTTTAGGCACCCAAATACCTTTGAAAATTTAGTCTTAGGCAGGCCAGATTGATTTTAAAACAAGGTAATTTAAATCACCAAGCAGGACAACTTATTTTAAGTAATTGATTTTAATTGTGATTTGTACTTGTACTTTTTAGTTATTTTGCTAAGGGAAGATTGATTCTTACTGTTGGGTTAACCATTACAACATTTGTTTTGCAACTAAATTGTCTGTTAATAACCTGTACTTCTTGATAATCAGGAGGATATACTGTATTGATACACAGTTATTTGAATACTAATTCATTTTAACTTGTGATTCTGGTCATTGTCTATATGGATGAAAATTCAAATCCAATTAAATTGTACAAAACCATTATTTTTTAATTTTGTTTTTACTAAAACTATCTTGAATGTGAACCATAGATTAGGAAAAATTGTTTATCAAAATACATGTTGCATTTAAAACTGATGTATTCAACAAATGAAATAGTATGTACAGTTAATAAATGGATTATTTCTGGTCACCATCATGTCCTTTGGTATTTGAGAGCTAGTAGATCCCATTTTCTCACACCAAGTTGTTATTCATAGATTAGAAGAGGAAAACAAGCTTCTCTGTTTTTTCAACATCTAGTGGGTTTCTTAACTTTGAATGCACTAGTCATTGAACTGAGGTACATGTTGAAATTCTCTTAACCAGGACTCTCTGGCCTGGCATGGATGTTGCAGAACCAGAGAGTCCCAGTAGTCAGCCAACAGTAGGGAGCCCTTCAGGGCTAGCAGGGGAGCATGCTGCCCACTGCGGGTTGACAGGGGGGCCACTCAGCACATGGCAGCAGGGTCACCAAGTGTGGCTTGGAGACCAGGCATGCAGCTTCCCAGGGGCCTCCAGAGTAGTGGTGTCTGGTTTCCTGGGGGACCCAGAGCCCTGGTGCATGGCTGTGTGTGTGTGTGGGGGGGGGGGATTGCTGGGTGGCGCAGGAGGGGGGTCAGCTGGGAAGACAATGGGCCGAGCCAAGGCTGGAGAGAGGTGGGGGATCCAGTTACAGGGAACCAGAAATGACCTCCCCTGGTGGAGCAAAATCCCTCATCCTGGACCAGTCAGGTCCTGGGGGTGCCAGACATAGGAAGTCCATCTGTAGCTGAATAAACTAAAATGAAAAAAAAACCCTCTGCTTATGCAAAAGAAGCTTCTGCCGTCAAAAGCTGGCTTAATATTTCAATGAATTCTAGTTTCTGGTTTTCAGCCAGTGGCTTTGACTAGTTCAGTGGTTTGACTTTCTTTGAGACCTGTCTGCAAGCTTGTAATTCTTATTATTTTATTTCTTTGATTTATTTACTACATTTTTGAAAATGGAGGGATTAACATATCTTGTCAACTTCAAATCTGAATGATTTTTAAAACAATCTCACTTTTAATTTAAATGTATTTTTTAATGCATAGATTTTTATGCAGTGTGCATAAGTGACTTAAGAATCTAACTCCAATTGATTTAGGTCCCTAAATCATTTAGTCATTTTTTTAAAATCTTACCTTATTACCATTAACAGTAGTAAAAAACAATGGCTGGATAAAAAAATCTGTCACTTTAATTGTTGCAATACTTGGAAAAGATTCCATTGTTGCAAACAATATTAAATTATAATTCATTATAATTACCATGTTATTCAGCTTGAATCCTTCTTGCACTCCAAAACTTTTATCTACAGATGGAGGTGTAAAGCTAACCGTGAATTTTTGCTTACCGCAAGCTAGATCCTTATGTGTAGCAGAGATTCACTTGGCACAGCTAAGGGAGTTGGGGCAAAGATGATTCTTCCATTTTTGTGCCTCCCGCCAGCCCCCTTCTTCGCCCCTCTTTTGAGGCTGACTGGTGGCTGGATGCATCTCTGGCACAATTTAGAGTCACAGCAATGTTGTATCCTACAATCCACAGCCCTGATGCGCTATTCCAGCAAATGGAGATAGCCAGGGAATAGTATGGTGCTTACTTGAATCCTTTTCTCCTCGGAGCACCCCCTAAGTTGAGAGCCAGTGGATGGGTGACAGCTGGTGTGAAATCCCAGTGATTTATATTATGCAAAAGGTATCTGCAGGGAGCCAGTTAAGCCAGTGTTCCAGCCACTTTGTGCCAAGTGGACCAGAGGATTAAAATATTAAATATGCATCTGATTCTCTCTTCTGTGACAGGATAGATTTTATCCTACTCACTGAAGCACAGTCAGTTTACAACTCAATTACTTTGAACCTGGAAAATGCATGATCATTCACAGTTTATGACCATGCCAGGTCTTGGACAGATTAGCATAGCATCCTTGGCAATGCAAAATTCTTTATGAGACATAGAATAATTGAGAGAATCGTGAAATCACAAAAAGAAGATTTATGTTCACAGCTCCTAGGCACATGTAGTAATGTACTGTGAATGTAGTGTTGAAAATCAAAATTGTTCATGTGTGAATTTATTTCCAAACTCATGTTTCAAAGTAATATTTCTGACATATTCTTGAGTGCTTTTTATTATGATTTTCCTATATTGTTGATCCATCAAAGTACTTAAACGTGATGGTCAGAGGTCATATGAGTATTGCAGATTTCTTGCTTTTCACTTGCATGCTGTTGTAGTCAATGTTTAATACATGCTGTGGCAGGGTCAGTCCCACTCCTGGGCCCCTGACTCCTCCTGTTCAACCCACAGTCCCACAGGCTAGAAGTCACAGTATATGGCTCACTCGCCTTGGTTTGAGATTTGCTGTCTCCCTGTAGTCTTTAACAAGGTTGATGCTGTTATCTTGGCTCCTCCGATGTCTTTCTCTCTCCAGACTCCTCCTCCACTCTCCAAACTCCTTCTCAGTTCTCTCCACACTCTTTTACAGCTCTCCAAACTCCTTCTCAGCTCTCTTCCCCCTCACTCATAGGGAAAGTTCTTAAATAGGCCTCCAGGCAACCCCTAATTAGCCAGGATTGCTGACTCTCTCTGCCTCTTTCCCCTTCCATCAAGCTCTTTCACCTGCTGTATCACCCCTGCTCTGTCACAATGCTTAGAACCATTCAGCCATTCCCTTTGAAAGCGGACAGCTGTATGCAAACCATATTACAATATGAAACTGGTTTTGTGACCATTTTTTCTCTAATTTTGTTTCTGTTTTGTCCATTCCATGTGTTTACAGTCCATAAGCCAGTTGTGTTAGAGGAAATGCTTCACAACTTGGATTTCTGTGACATTTTGGTAATTGGTGTGGATCTGGATCCTAGACAGGAATGTTTAGAATTGGATCATAAAGAACTTCAAGGAAAACATCTGGATGCCACAAACTCCACAACAGGGTATTCTATCTATGGTATGCTATTGCGCCATTTACATTTTTTCATTACATTCTTAGAATGTTACTTTTAAGATATTGCTTTGTGTGTACAAACAGTACAGATCAGAGCCACACTGTTCAGAAGGAGCTCAATAATGGAGTGTGCCTCAACAAAGAACAATTCCATCTCACCTCTCAGGTATACATGGGGATTGTCTGATGCAGCCTTCTCTGCCAGATAATTCACCCTGTACGAGTCAGCATGGCCATAGCCCCACCTTTTATATCCCATGTGGTGATGTGAGTCCCCAGGAAAGTAGGGGAGGGGCACAGAACATGGCATATGTCCATACGGTAATTTCTGATATTACTAAATTATTGGTTGTATGTCTATATGTTTGTTTGTTTGTTTGTTTGTTTGTTTGTTTGTTTGTTTTCACAGTTCCTGAAGTCTTAACATTGCTCACTTAATTTGATATGAACTGGAATCTTTGACAAACTGAGCTTGTTCTATCCACTTCATTTTCTTATTTAGATCATGACATTTCACTGTACAATTCATCCACTTCATTTTCTTATTTAGATCATGAGATTTCCCTGTACAATAGTCTTATTGTAAACACAAAGTTTTGACAGTGCTTGCCCCTCTAGCATCTCTTGGCATTTATTCATGTTGTGTTATTGATTCAGGTGTAGACACAATGAGAAACTATGAACTGGTGCTCCGACAGGTTCGTTATCGGAATTGGCACACTTCCAACGTCTTTGACAGAAAGTTCAGGATCAAGTGCTCAGAGCTGAATGGGCGATACACCAGTAATGATTTCAACTTGGAGGTAAGTAATGCAAAGATGTTTTTTTACCAAAACTTTCCTTCTACTATTGACAAGCTACACCTCTTCCTTTATCCTTCAGGGCAGGGACAGAGTGCTCCTGTGTGTGTTAAATACCTAGCATATTGTGTGGTCTAGGCAGCTCACAGGAGAGCCAACAGCTTCATGGGGCTCCTGGGGAAGGTGGGAGGGGTCAGCTCTATGCTCCTGAAAGGGGCAGGGCAGAAGGGGTGGGGCTGGGGGCAGCCAGCCCCCTGCATCACCTGGACCATGGTGAACCTTCCCCCCAAGTCCTCAGAACTCCCCGGTGCTCCGGCAGTGATTTAATAGGTCTGGGGCCTCCAGGTGCTGCCATGTTGAAGTCGCAGTAGCAGTGACTGAGAGCCATGGACCCTTTTGAATTACCAGGCCCTGGGGCAGTTGCCCTCCTTGCCTCCCACATCGGTGGGCCTGGCTGCTTAGCAATATATAACAACAAGATGAACTTTCACTTGACACTAATATTCAGAGCCACATTCCTGCCCATGCATAATAGGCATCATTATTTTTTCCATGAGTTGTCTCCCACATCCAAGCTCCAAACTGAATCCCAGTTATTGTCCTCCTGCTTGACAGTGCCATGTTGTCAGCTCATTGCCCTTCGACTTTTTGTCAACACAGTTTTTTTCCTTAGTAGAATCAAGTGTTACCCTCTTGCGGTAAGTGAAACGATGTATTGTTCCTCACCAGGAAGTCATTCCAGATTAGTTTGCACTTCCTTATTGAATACGAGGATAGGATTCTGTTCATTTTTTATAGAGGATCTTCACTTTTGTAGTATAACACATCAGACATACTGCATCTTTCAACCTTAGGATCAACTCTCTGTTCTACAGGATTTGCTGTTTGAGCATGGTCAGTTACAACTAGATAATTGTATATAAAGCAGAGACTCCACATATTTTTGCTTTGAGCAAGTGAGGCAGAACACTGTTGCTTCCTTAGATAGTACAGGTGGCTCCAGCAATCACAGGCCAATGAGCTGTGCCTAGTGACAAGCAAGCGGTTCCTGCATGAAAAAGAACCCCCTTTTCATTCTGGTACACAGCGTTACTTCAAAGGTCTCAGTCAGCACCACCAGCCTTTTTTCTACTTTACAGGTTTTTTCCTTAAAGTGAACTCCATGCTGGTATAATATGCCAGATTGATATCCCAGGTCTAAAGTGGTCTAGAGAGGCAAAAAATAAGCACAGCATGAACAAAGGCAGTGCAAGCCTCCCTACCCTACTCCAGTAATGGGGCTTAAGGCAGACCTTCAAAAGTGAGAGGGGCAATTTTCTAATTTTCTGTGCTGATTTAATTCTCCTTTGTCTGAACCCAGGTGACAATTGGGGAAGTGATTTTTTTAAATAATATGATCAGGTATTAGAGATATCTAGAGACAGAATATAAGACCAAATGAACTTCAGATTTAATCTAATATGGCATTTTGTAAAGTATATGGCTGCCTGTTCATTAAGAACTGGAATTGGGTTGTAGAATAGAGTCTGCTTACCTGGACATTCTAGGGATGGTAAGGGCTACTCAGCTAGTCACTCCCCTGCACTCCCTTCCTGTCTCTATGGGTATGTCTACACTACCCCGCTAGTTCGAACTAGCGGGGTAATGTAGGCATACCGCACTTGCAAATGAAGCCCGGGATTTGAATTTCCCAGGCTTCATTTGCATAAGTGGGGAGCC